CTCTAGACCCCACTCATTGAGGAGCCTATGTAGGAACCAGTGCGCGGGGTACCTGAGCCCTTGCTCGTGGAAGGTGAGGAAGGATACGACCTCATCGGCCCGGGGGCACGGAACAACCTCCCCTGGCATAGGAGCCCTCCAATGCGCCACCTCCTTCGGCAGGAGCAGCCCCTTCTCGGCGAAGGTGGCCAGCACCTCTTCATCCATGCCGGAAGGCCTCCAGTTCGACATCGTGCCTCGGATTTGCGAATGAATCTGTGAGTTCTCCTCTCCCTCGCTCTACCCTCCTCTCTCCTAGAAACCGCCATGGCACACGAGCGGGCTTAGCACAGAGGAGGAAGGAGAAGAGGCAGTAGTTGGAGAAAGGCAAAAGAATGGAAGGAAAACCCTCTCCCTTCCCCCCTATTTAAGGTGGAGAGGCATGTGGTGGGATGCGCCCTGGCTGATGGGACGTGCCCTACCTAATGAAACGTCGCCTGGTTAACGGGACATGGCCTGGGTAGGGCCCACCACTACCGCAACCCGGGCATAGGAAACAAGGCACAACTGCACGCAAATGACCCTTCGCCTTCCCAGGCAAGGTTTAGAAGGACCCACCAACGGAATCTCCATTGAGGAGAGGCCAACGGGTCACCCGAGTCGATCGGACGACTGTCGGGTGACAGGTAAGGAGCAGCGGGATGCCCCACGCGGGTTATGTCGGCCTCGTCATGAACGACGGATACAGATCCCTTCCGTACATATCCGATAGGAGCTCTCCAGACCCCTCACTCGAGCCATCGAGGTAACTTTACCAAACCCCCTTTTTTATTTTCTAGTGCATGATCATTCATTCCCATGCATGCATTCATACATTCATCCATACATTCATCCCATACATCCAAGCATTGCATATGCAATTGATGCATCACAACGCTTCGTGTTGAGTCATGAAGCGGTAGTCCCCTCATTCAATATGAGCGACAACCGACCGGGGTTCGAAGGCCGGTCCGCAAATGGCTCGAGGCCACCTCACATCAAATAGAGCTAGGGGAGAAAACGCAAATGAGCCCCAGTGCCCCCCGCCCGATCCGCTCCAAAGCGGATAGGGTCATCTCGACCTTCTCGTTCGATCCTGACCTCAAGCCATGCCCATAGAATCTCCATCCCAGTGGGCCACCTGAGTCGGTCTCTGAAACGGCTCGGGCATCTGCAGAGAGGTGGGTTAAGGAGTAGTGGAATGCCATATGAGGGCTATGCCAACCCTGTTACGGACAACTGACCTGGATTCCACTTGAACGTACCCGTTATTGAGCTCACCGAGCACGTCGCTCGAGCCATCGAGGCAAGCGATGTTAGCTCAACCCCTTCGGTTGCGAAAACCACGAACAGGGTAATGCACGAAACTAGACCGACCCCTCGGCCGCGCCCGACAATTGAGTTGGTGACTCCATCTCGCCCGACCCCTCGGTCGCGTGCCCGATGCTTGGGTTGGCTTCTAACACCTCGGGTTGGCGCTCTGCCTCGCCCGACCCCTCACCACGCCCGACACTTGGGTTGGTGACTCCGTCTCGCCCGACCCCTCGGCCACGCCCGACACTTGGGTTGGTGACTCCGTCTCGCCCAACCCTCGGCCACGCCCGATGCTTGGGTTGGCGCCTGACACCTTGGGTTGGCGCTCTGTCTTGCCCGACCCCTCGGCCACGCCCGACGCTTGGGTTGGCGCCTGACACCTTGGGTTGGTGCTCCGCCTCGCCCGACCCCTCGGCCGTGCTCGACACTTGGGTTGGTTACTCCATCTTGCCCGACCCCTCGGCCACGCCCGACGCTTGGGTTGGCACCTGACACCTCAGGTTGGCGCTCCATCTTGCCCGACCCCTCGGGCGCGCCTGATGCTTGGGTTGGCGCCTGACACCTCGGGTTGGCGCTCCTCCTCGCCCGACCCCTCATCCGCACCTGACACTTGGGTTGGCGACTCCGTCTCGCCCAACCCCTCAGCCGCGCCCAATGCTTGGGTTGGCGCTTGACACCTCGGGTTGGCGCTCCATCTCGCCCGACCCCTCGGCCACGCCCGACGCTTAGGTTGGCGCCTGACACCTTGGGTTGGCACTCCACCGCGCTCAACCCGTTGGCCGCTCCCGACACTTGGATTGGCGACTCCGCCTCGCCCGACCCCTCGGCCACACCCGACGCTTGGGTTGGCGCCTGACACCTCGGGTTGGCGCTCCGCCTTGCCCGACCCCTCGGCTGCGCTGACGCTTGGCTTGGCGCCTGACACCTTGGGTTGGCGCTCCGTCTCGCCTAACCCCTCGACCGCGCCCGACCCTTGGGTTGGCACCCGTCACCTCGGGTTGGCGCTCCATCTCGTTCGACCCCTAGCCACGCCTGATTCTTAGGTTGGCGCCCGACACCTCGGGTTGGCGCTCCACGTCGCCCAACCCCTCGGCCGTGCCCGACGCATGGGTTGGCGTCCGACACCTCGGGTTGGCGCTCCGTCTTGCCCGACCCCTCGGCCGCGCTCGACGCTTGGATTGGTGCTCCGTCTCGTTCGACGGCGACCCACGATCTTTCACCCACCAGGTGCGCTCGTGAAACGAGTATGAACAGCCCCTTCACGACTTCACACAAGTCTCAAAAGGGCTCGGGGGCTCCTATCGGGTTCATAAACTCGAGATCCCCAATGGACCTGCTTCCCTATAAAAACTCGGCCCAGCAGACGGCGTTGCGACAACGCGTGCCTCCCGGGCCGGCCTAGATACATAATGACAGGCCGGGACAACGATTCGGTCCCCGACCGGAAGGCCTAGCCAAGGTGGGGGCACAATCCAACTCTGACCTCCTTTTCCGACCGAGGATACGCTGGACCTCTGCTCACGATTCTTTCCCGACCGACACGGTCGGGCCGACTGGGAACGACCGACCGGGGATGCCCGCTCGGTGAGGGCCCAGGGATCAAGCAGAGCAGATAAGGTAAGGTGCTCAAGTCAATCGCAATAACAAGGACCGTACCCTGCCATACCCCGCACACCTGCAGGACGGTGCCACCAGGCCATGCCAGACGGGCACTATGCAACTTTCTAGGCGTGTTAGAACACAAACAGTATTGTAGACGTCGACGTTTGTCGTACTAGGCGAACACAGTAGAGCCTGCCACATGCGTCTTACATAAACAATATTGTGGCCGTCGACGATCGTCTCGTACCCGACAGCGTGGGCAACAAGACTTGATAGCACACGTATTTATTCTCTCTTTCTCTGACTTGTAAGGCCATCCCCTTTAACTATAAAAGGGGATGCGCTCTCTCCTCTCCAGGGGACGTTCTCTCCGCACCGAACGTTCTCTCTGGCTCTAGCTGACCTGAGCATTCGAACAGCTCAACGGTTCTAGAATCCAACGGCAACACAGAGCGTACGCTCTAATACTTAGCGCACGTTAGAGCACTCGTCACTCTCGTCACTTCGGTTCAGAGTCTGACCGGGCCTTTAACACCCCCTTCTTATCCCTACTCGTTTGTAACCCCACAGCAAACTTCGAGCATCTGGGCTTAGGAATAAAGTCACCGACCGACTGAAACTGGACGTAGGGCACGTTGCCTGAACCAGTATAAATCCTGTGTCGTTGAGTGCTATGCCACATTCGATCACAATGCACGATAAAACTACAAATATTTACTTGTCGGTCACTTTTCGCACCGACACTATCTCTCCATCTAATATTAAAGAATAAAGCATTTCTTTCGACCCACTTTTTTTGTCCCGCTTTTTTTACTTCCTAAACTACCCTCGTGCCCACCGTATCCTATATGTGATATGGATTTATGACACCTACTCATACAAATTAAAACCACTCGTGTCCAGCTTATAATACAGAGTGGAAAAAAAGGCGGGTTGTAATTTTACAACCAGCTTATACATAAGAACTCAGAAACATTGAGAGAAACAAATAAGTCATAAATAAGTCAACTAATATATAAGTGGTTGATAGGTGGACTGTAAAGCACCAGGACCATGATCACCACAACGTTGATCGAGGACCTTTACACCCACGATCGTCTCCAGCCAGAGGATGAGATAGATCACGTTCTTGGCAACCTCCGATCCAGCTCCCCATCGCGCTTGCGAGGATGTGCCTTGCCGCCTTGCGGGCAGTCCCACTGGCGTAAAGGACTTCCCTCACTCGAACGACCTTGTTAGACACTTAGACCCATTGGAGATCACCTAGACTGAAGAACGCGAGAGAGGGACCACATTTTTTGCAAAGATTGCCTATGTCAATTCACAACGGTAAACATAAATGCGTCGACAAACAAGACAAGATCATCGCTAAAAGGCACCACTACGTACGTGATGGAGGAACGTTCAAAACCATGCAAGAACTGAAAACAAGCGTGATAGAGGTGCGGAGGAATAATATTGTGCTAGCTAGTTCAGTTAAGTCTACCATCATTATTCCTCTCCTATAACTCATTAGCTTATCGATCATTTCACGTGACTCGTGATTATGGTGATTGGATGGGTGATCCTTACAAGGATATGCATAGTCTCTTCACCAACAACGTGAACATCCTAGAGAAGTTCTTTTGCAAGGAGCCAAAGTGAGTTATACGTACCTAACTCAAATATTCCAAATATAAAAAAAGATAAAAGAAACTTGAAGGTAAATAAAAACTTATATATGCACCTAACCCAGGTATTGCCAAAAGAAAAGAGAAACTGATGCACAAAAGCCTCCATAAAATGCGAGATGGTTAGTAGCGTTAAGGCTTCCACAGCGCCATGCATGATGCTCCCTCGTGTGCACTCATTTGTCTCTTGTAGCCACCATCAAGCAACAACCCCCTTGGATTCATGCTTGCTTTTCTCTCAGTGGCCGTGGCCGATAGAAGTGGCTCTTGTGTGTTTCTTCACCTGGGTTGCATGCCCTTCCCCTTTATTTGTCTAGTGACTTGTCTATCGAGGCGTGGTCCCGTGCCGTGGCGTTGTTGTTTGCAGAGCGCCCGGGAGCTCTGTCGACAATCACCATGGCCAGCTTGACCACCATGGAGAAGTTGATCCTCTTCCACAAGCTCGAGAGAGACCTGTTCCACCGTCTAGTGCACGACCTCGCCCAGGACCCGGTGCCGATGCTCTGGGTGATCGCGTTCTGGCTCTGGCTCGAGTCCGATGGCCACCACGACTTCATCCGCCGCGTCTCCGCGCTGCCAGGACCTGTTGTGCTGCGGTTCGTCGACGAGGCTATCGCGTGCCTCCGCTGCCTCGCCCGCCAGGGCCATGGGCATGCGGCCGGCACAGGCACCGGCGACGGCCGCGAGAGGTGCCTACCCTGCACGAACGCGCTCTTGACCAAGCGCATAGACGACGTGGGCTACTTCGAAGGGCACCGCGAGGTCTTTGATGGCGTCACCTACCAGTACAGGAGCGTATGCCTCGCCGTTTGTGATGTCAGCAGCAACAGCACTTGTGTGCCCACAAGCGGTGTGCTTGCTGCGCCACCTATGGTCGGCTCCCCTGTCCTCACCGCCCCGACGGTGGCATCCTTTCCACTAAACCCGATGGCATCGCCGTGGATCCCTTTGCAGAGCCCCCCGCCAGACGACTACCGCTCCCTATTTATCACCTTCTCCAGAGGCTACCCCATTAACAGGGAGGACATCATGGACTTCTTCGACTCGTAAGTCCAATCCACTTCTCTTCTCTCTATGTGTAGATCGTGTATGTGGCTACCTTTGCACCCGTAGTACTCCCTTGTGCGTAGTCAGGGGTAGGGATGGCAGTTAAATCCACAGGTACGAGTGTCTGCGGACGCCGCACCCACTAGGGTGTGAGCGTCGATGCTAAATCGTACCCACGTGTCGCATCGGATTGGTCCCGAAATGAATGAAGCTAAGGTCGGATGCGAAATATAAGGCTTTTTGCCTTTTTGCGAAATATAAGACTTTTTGCGAAATGAATGAAGCTAAGGTCGGATCCGAAATATAAGGAGCATTCCATGTACTACTTTTGTTCCAAATTATAAGATTTTTTACCTTTTCTAGATACATTCCTTTTACAATGTATTTAGACATAATGTATATCTAAGTGCATAATAAAAGCTATGAATATAGAAAAAGCCAAAACGTCTTATAATTTAGAATGGAGGAAGTAATTATCCATGTCTAGTTGTTATAAGAACATGTTTGGCACCTAAGTATTAAATTTTTAGTCTATTTTAAAAACTTGTATAATTATATATGATACATATGTGTAGATGACTAGATTTTGCTATATATAGATGACAAACTTTGCTTGTTTTCAACTTTCTATAATTATTAATGTGATCATGATGATATATTGCTTGTGAGATTAATGCACCCGATGGGTGCCCAAAACCCACGGGCGCGGACGCAGGTGCAAAATTGCACTCACAGGTTGTGTCAAGGATGGATGCGACAATATTTTGCGGGTGTTATCACAAGCGGGTATTTGCTCCACCCACACCACACCCAATCTATTGCCATCATTAGTCAAGGAGCTCTAGTCACTGGCGGTCATGGAAGGGGGGGTTAGGCATTGCGGGTGTTATCGCAAGCGGGTATTTGCTCCACCCACACCACACCCAATCTATTGCCATCCTTAGTCAAGGAGCTCCAGTCACTGACGGTCATGGAAGGGGGGTTAGGCAGACTTGATCAAACACCAGATCGAGTCGGGTTCCGATCATACCAGAAAAATATCCGCATTTTACATTTTTAGATGTTTCCACAACTTCACTGTTCGTCCACCGCAACATTCAAAGATCTTCGGAGTAGCCAACAATAGTTATTTGGCTTTAAGATTTTCATTAAACTTTCCAAAAATATACTGATCTAAAGGAAGTTACAAAACCTTTGTGAAGGCTCTTATTTTATACTCTGGAAGTTTCGAGAAAACTTTCAAATGACTCCAAAACTTTCAGCTGTGATTTAAGCTTTCAATCACTGGACAAAATTTGCTCTCTGCAAAAGTAACTATGATTCGAATTAGCCCAAGTTGATTTTTTTTTTTGTTCAAGCATCATCAATAAGTGCACGGTCGTGCAGGATCATATAAATCTACACATAGCGCTAGATAAATTTTGTGCATGGATGGTGCATTGCAGGGTGTACGGGCCGTGCGTGGAGACGGTGATGATAGAGAAGGTGGCGCCAGGGCAGCTGCCGGTGTACGGTCGCATGGTGCTGCGCAGCGCGGCGATGATCCCAGTGGTGCTGAACGGGCGGCAGACGGCCAAGTTCCTGATCAAAGGCAGGCACCTCTGGGCCAGGATCTACGTCCCCAGCTCCAGGCTCTCCTACGCCTGATCCCAGCCACCTACAGGCTACAGATCAGAAGCCGGCCGGGGTAAGAGCAGAGCTGGAGCTTGTACACTGATGTTACGTACTTACGTGCCATGACTAGAGCTTTGCTGAACTGTCTCGTCGAATAAGGTATCGGAGTGTTAAAGGTTTGTGTCTGTGCTATGTACATACGTCTGTCTGCGTTCCAGAGTTCGCCTCGTACCCGTTATATGCTCGTCATGTGCCCGCTGTGCTCGCCATGAACCCTTTGTGTTAAGAAATGTTGGCAATGTCGTAACAGTGCCTTGATAGTAATAAGTTTCAAGTTTCATAGTCATGCTTGCCTGGCACGGCCAAATCAACAGGCCTGGGTATTTTGAACAGCTTCTAGTTCCCATTGTGGAGCTAAAACAACGCCTATTTCGACAACAATATCTGACTACCAAGACAGTATTGCTTATAAGTGGTGAAGGACGTAGGCGTCACGGCACCACAAAAATTCTGCGTGATACATACATAATGAATGCGTACATTAGTCGCGCCAACCAGTACCAGCTTGCCGCCTCTTCCCATATAGTCTAGCAGGATCTCAGCTAGTGCCACTTCCTAACTCTCACATGGGTTACCGCTTAGAGTTTTGACGCTGCCACGTAGCTCCCCTCACTATGTTTGACAGGTGTGAGTGCATCAACCAGCCTTTTGATGTCCTCCGAGGAATGGGAAGCGCTAAGAGTGATTCTCAGCCTGCCAAGAGGTCCAAGATAAGTTTATCTTCCTTCACAGTATTGGTGAATTGAAAAAGAGACCTTTTATTTATAGCAAGTTCTAGCAGGAATTCTGTATACAAGTTCATGCAGGACTGGATGATGGAATATTGGTAAGTGGGAAGATGAGCTGGAACCTGCATGAGTTGGGTGGCACCGTGGGTGGTCGGATTGGTGTAACATGAAATCCAGATCTTAGCAAATGCCTGAAGTATTAGAAGCGAAATATTAGGAACGTGAACCAACGAAGCTATCGACAAAGCAAACCAAGGAAACAGGGAATAAGGGCACCTGCCAGCCCTGAGTGCTGCTGTTTCACTTCCAACCACAATGGAAATTATGGGACTAGTCATCTCGAGATTGGTCAAATAAGCAAAATACTGCACATGCCTCCAGATCACTGATCTCCGCCATCTCTCCTTCCTTGAGACATAGAGTGCCGCTGAAATCAATAAAACTCTATTTAGAAAACGTCCCCTGCTACATTTAAGTCCTCACTCAAACAGGCTAATTTGAAAGCGCAAAGAGCATGTACATCTTTTCCTTCAATGTAACTGGAAATAATGTTGATTAATGGATATTGGATGTCAGCTCAACATATTGTTGAAAGAAATATTCATTTCTAGAAGAAATGGCAGTCTGGCACAGGGGCTAAGTCATGAATATTATTACCATGCACAGAAGCAACAACTGGCACCGGCAAAGCAGTTGAAAATATGAATGAGCGACCTCGTGACTGAATGAGCCTCTTCCATCTAGTGCTGCACAACAGATTGCAAGCTTTTAGTCATGAATCTCAGAATCTGGAAATACAGTATTATCTACTGATATTCTTATTCCTATAGTCAACTTGTGATATCGAACTGAAAAGCTTCTTTATAAATAAAGAACTTATAAGCATGAGAGTCCATGGTTCAAATTTGTGATAACCAACTGAGAAGCTAAGCACTAGAAATTCTTCCAGTTAGCTGACAACAGCAAGTTCTCAGAATGGAAACATGTTGAAGTTGGCACTCAGCTCTACATTAACTCAGAGAGTTTGCAGAAACATGTAAACCTAATTCTCACGCTCATCTTTGATGAGCATGTTATCCCATTCATATATCTGCAGTCAAACATGTCTCACATATCGTGTATTTTGTATATCCTTTTTTTAGACAGACATGCTCCATCTGCTTTGTTTAATATTCATCATGATTCATAAACAGTTTTTTTTTATAGTAATTCCTAAACACATTTCACTAGAAAGGAAATATGATTGTTTCAAAGAGTATATTACCTGCATGTTATAAAACCACCCTGGCAGCCAGCGGCTTTGCTTAAGGTGCCGACACCTATGTCAATGTCCTTTTCACATTTAAATAGCTCAGCTGCACCACCACCATTCTCACCACAAACAAATGTCCCATGGGCCTTGACAAAAGAAAATGCGAACAGAACTCAATCAATACAAAGATCTGCAAAAACTTATTTGAGAGGAGATAAAATACTAACATCATCGATGACCAATAGAAACCCATACTTTCTGCGTAATTTGACAAGTTCAGGGAATGGAGCGAAATCACCATCCATGCTGAACAGGCTGCACTTTATTATAAATGAAAATAGGTTCTCATATTATTAGCCTAATAAAGAAACAATATGCATATACCAGCAATCACTAGTCATCAACATTAACAGAAACAGCAACACTTGGTCAGTGATGACTTGCCTATCTGTGACAACAACTTTCTTTTCCATTGAGCAACTGGACCTGCAGAGATTATAAAAATATAGTTACAGCTAATTCAAGTAGTGTGAATGCACTGAATATTACTGCAAAGAGAAAAAGAAACATACAGCAGGAAATCAAGATGGAACATGTCACGGTGCTTGTAGACAAACACTAACGCTTCTTGCTGCCGCTCCAAAAGGCGAATCCCGTCAATGATTGAAGCATGGTTCAGCGCATCTGAGAAGATCGCAATTCTCTCATACTCTGCTGGTTTTCTCCCATGGGACAAAAGAGAGCTAATACTCCCCAGGGCTGTCATTACAGCCATGTTGGCAGAAAACCCAGTAGGGCAAAGAAGGCAATCCTGCAGAACCACTACACAGTAAGAATCCAAAGCTGAAGAAATGATGATGCTTATGCAAAAATTTCAATTTGAAGACATCAATTGGTACCTCTTTTTTCTTCAATTGTGCCAATGATTCCTCCACCAACTTGTGATAACTAGTATACCCACAGATCAACGCCGAGCCTCTTGGCCCCATGCCATAATCTCGAGCTGCCTAGCAAACACCAACTAGGTCATTAATTCAAAATAATTGATATATCAAGCAGTGTACACAGAATTGGCACACCTGCACTAAAGCCTCACGGACTGCAGGATGCGAGCTGAGGCCCATGTAGTCATTCCCTGAGAAAAGGATCAGATTTCCATCCAACTCGTCTTCATGTCCACTCGCCTCACCACCTAACCAAATCTTACAAAGAGGAGAACACAGTGACTACGAGTTTGGCATGCGCCACAGAGGGATATAGATTTGGCTGGCGCTGACCTTCGGCCAGCCATTGGTGCAGGGTGTTGCGGTCGAGCCGGATTTCGACGGCGGCACGGTCCCAGGGCCCCGGCCCGTCGAAGGTCTGTGGGGTCGCGGGGGGCGGGGGCGACGCGAGCGCGATGGGTCGCGTAGCGCGTAGCAGGCTCCTGGCCTCCAGCGTCGCGAGCGCGGCATCCACCAGAGCGTCCCACTGCTCCATTTCGTCGAACATGCGGCGCGGGTGGGAGGCGGCGGAGCGCGGAGGCAGAGAGGAGAGCAAACTTGACACGTACAAGGAGGGTGCTCGACTGCTTGGGGAGAGGTGGCTGGGGACTTGGGGTAGCGTGCCCGTGAGCGCAGAAGAGCAGGGATGGGCAGCGTCAACTTGGGGTGGCTGGCTCACCCGCCAACGGGTCTCGCAGCACGGACGAATTTAACGGGCTGTAAAGGCCCATAGAAGCTGCACGCGTCGTAGAAAAAGAAGGCCCATTATTTATAGAACAAACTTTGAGTTCCGTAAGCAACAAATAAGATAGCCCATATATTGCCCAATGGAACAGTCCATTTAACCCCTTAACTATTGACTTAGTCCGTTTCTTCTCCAGTTCTCCGTCTAAGCCTCAACCACCAAACCAAATATTTTAGATCATCTCCAAGAGTTTTCTATAAAGCCTCTCAATCTAAGATTTTTGACAAGAATAAAAAACACATCTCCAACAGTTCTCAATCCCACATCCCAATCTTTCCGCGCTTAGAAAAATAAACCAATCGTGCGTGTCTACCACGCACATATCATAAAGGCCAATCTAAAGGTGAGAGGGTGTGAGAAAGAATAAAGAGTAAGAAAGGGTTTCTGATGCAAATATACAAGAGAGAAAGAATATATAAAAGTAGTTAGAATAATTTAGAAATAGTATATAATTCCTAGTATAAAAATCATCTCCTATATTTTAGAATTAAATTATTGAAAACTATTGAAGATGGTCTTATTTATTCCTCCCAATAATTTTTGGCGAGCCGAAAAACTCTATAGTTTTGAGGAGAAATGTTGGGAACTCTCGGAGATGCTCACTCCCTCAACTCTTCATCAATATCAGGTTAAAAAAAACTCTTCATCAATACCGTATACTAATCATACCACTTGCTGGCAGGGCAGGGCAAAGAAGAGGAGGATAATGGAGGAGGAAGAAATGGATGGGGTGAAGGGAGGGGCATCTTAGTTTTTTCGAGTGGCCTAGCAGGCTGGCATGTCTCGTCATATTAGTAAAATTAGAGAGAACTGAGAAAATCTTTTCTTACCGGTGGTAGAAGTATAGGTGTCATTCTAATAGTGATTTTTAGAGCGTCAGCTGTAAAAAGATAAAAAGTTAAATATCCCTTGGCCTTTGGCTAATCCCAAAGGAGAACAGTACCCTACCATTTTCCAGCAACATTTGTAAGTGATTGTGTTATTCTTACAACAGTGCTTCAGTGGCAAATCACCATCCCTGTGTATACGAAGGAAAAGCAACAACAGTGCTTCCAAGCGACAGAGTATGTGCTGGAAACTATGCGAGCCCGGCGGTGTTGGCTTTTATATACCAACAGGTACGTACTACTCAAAACCAACCGGTTTACTTCTAATTTTGACCAGTACGGTTTCCAATTTGGATTAGTATGATGAGGCTACACATCATCAGTACGAACACTATTATTACACTAATAAGACACACAAAAAAAAGTTTAAAAAAGGAAGAAAGAATACATCGGCGTGCCCTTTGCTACTGCGATGCCTGACGGGAGTGAATGCGTTCCTTGCGAAAACTGCAAAGCAACGGGACGGGCTTTCCCTCCCTTGTCGCGTTGCTTTTGGGCTGGGGCCTCAGTGCCTCAACCCTCACCACGCCGTGCACTGCTGGACGAGAGATCGATGGTGGCGCGAGTACGTACGTGTGTGTACCACGCCCCAGTGTTCATATTCAAGAAAAGGCCAGTGAAATAAAAGGTGTGCAGGATCGGAGCGGTACTGTACGCCGCCGGCAGTAAAACACGCAACAACCAGCCGTGCTACGTTCTTCTGTGACGAGATAATGACGAAACGATCGAATGCACAAGAAAAACAGTGGGAGAAAGGAAACAGTGCCGTACGCTTTTGCACGGATCGGAACGGGATGGGACGAGATCTCTTGTCAAAAGGGACGATCGGTAGGCCGATAAGTAACACCGATGTGCGTGCCGTACTGTCATCCTTGCTGTAGGAGAAAATTGCTATGTTTTCTTTCCGTAGAATTGCAGTTGCAGCCATGAAGCTGCGATACTGACAGTGATAGAGCAATGTTGATACTCCACTTAGGTATTGCTCTGAAACATGGACATTTCATTTCCTCAAGTGGTGGCGATAATCGGTTCCTCAGATGTTAAAATTCAGTGTTCATGTGTTGTTTTTTGTGCATGCTAGTGCTAGTTCTAGTTGCCAGGAGAGGAGATCATGAGATTTTCTGCAGGTTCCGGTCCGTCCATCCTTCAGTTAAAAAGTGAACATGGCTGGACAAAGGTCCCAGGTGAAGAAATCTTGTGCGTGTTGCAAGGCGTACATGGATGGTTTGGATTGAAAGATGAACTGTTTCCTCATGCTCATGTCTGCTAGTTATAGACACAGCATGAACATATATGTTCATAAACCAAATCGGAGGAGAGTGTTAAGTGCTTAGGATCATCTAGGTGTAGATTAGTGGGTGGATTCATCTCTATTTAGTTCAAATTTATCAAGTACATGACCTAGGAGAGAGAGATAGACTCGGGAGAGGGAGACAGAGTAGAGACCCATATCTTCGGGCTTGGCAGAGGAGGTGGAGGGGAAGAAATTGCTACGGCAGCGGTTACGTAGTGCGTAGCGGTGTAGTCCAGGTGCCGGCGACGCGGTCGACGACGCTTCTCGTCACTTGCAGCGTTGTCCACGATCGGAGGGGCCTTCTAGGGTTACTTCGGTGGGTTAGTGGCGGCGGTAAACCTCGTCACGTGTGCCCTGGCCCCCACCTTTCTCTTTATATAGCGTTATGTGACAGGGGCCTGCCGACCAATGGTCGGTTAAGCGTCCCCGATCAGGACGCGGTCAAGGGGTCCGATTGGCCGTTGGGCCAATTGGTGGAGATCAAACTAACATTCTTCCCCTTATCTCACCTTATGACTTAAACTTAACTTACTTTATCTTGTTCTCATTCCATCACAGATCAGTGCATAAAGCGTGCCTAATCGTCACGGTCAGTTGCCATTAGATTTAACAGCTACAATGCACCTCTCTGTTTTAAAACAAATACTCAACTAGACCCTTAGTATCCAGAAATCATAGGCTTTCCCATAAATCCATGTCGACTGTGTGTTTTCTGAATGCACTGGGTGGTTAGCCTTTGGTAAGTGAATCTGCAAGTACTTACTCGGTACTTATGTGCTCAATGCTTTCAGAATGATTCTGAATTTTCTCCTTTACAACAATAACTTAGTGTCAATGTGTTTGGCAGCACACTTGACCTGTTGTCCTAGGAGTTAACTTACTTTAAATGGTTATTGTTGTTGTCTACCATTGTTAAATCCGGGTACAAATTCACTTAACCTCCTTTTGCTTGTTCCTTAAGCCTCATGTCAAGCTATACTATGGTATGCATCACTGATGACACTACAACTATTTCTTTGGAGTTTTTCCACAATAATACTCCAACTGCGAGTGTTAACAACTACTGTGGATTTCACTATACATCTCGCCATGACTTAATATTTGTACACTCAACTATTTGAGAGTACTTATTCTTTCTTACTCAGCATGAGGCCTATAATACTTTACAAAATTGTAAGACATTCTCAACTCCATTCCAGTGATTTATATCTGAACTGGACTTCTCCCAAAATATCCCGAATACATAAACTATGTCAGGATAAGTTCTTACTTGTACTTGTACACACATCAAGCTTCTAACAACTGATGCATATGGAACCATATTCATTTGATCGATCTCATATCGGTTCCTGTAACACTTAAAGTTCCCAAATCTATTACCCTTGACTATAGGAGCAGGCGTAGGTTTACTCGCATGCATGCTTTACTTCTTTAGAATCTTTTCTAAGTATGCCTTCGTGATAGTCCTAATACCTCATTTTCTTCTATCTTGGTGAATTTTGATTCCTAGAACCAATGACGCTTCACCAAGATCATTCACATTGAAACTTGAGGACAAAACTTCTTCTCTAATGACAGATTAACATCACTACTAATAAGTAGAATGTCATCTATTCACATGATGTGGAAAATGAATTTTCCATTCTTGATCCTCGCATAAACGCTATTGTCCTTCTCATTTTCTTTAAAACCGTAACATTCTTATCGTTTTATCAACTTCAAATATTACTGTCTGGAGACTTACTTTTAACCCATAAATAAATTTCTACAGGCGACATCCCATATGTTCTTTTTCTTCTATGACAAAACCTTTGGGTTGTGCCATGTAAACGTTTTCATATAAATCCCCATTGAGGAATGTCGTCTTTACATCCATCTAATGTAACTCTAAATCATAATATGCCATTAACACCATTATGATTCCAAAAGAATCCTTACATAAGACTGGAGAGAAAACTCTCATTGTAATCTATTCATTCTCTTTACGTAAAGCATATTGCCACAAGTCGTGTTTTATATCTTTCTATATTCCCTTTGGAGTCACATTTTGTCTTGTAGATCCATTAACAGCCTACTATTTTGGCTCCATTAGGAATTACTTCTAAGTCCCAAACATCATTGGTATTTATCGAATTTATTTCAACTTTCATAGCTTCTTGCCATTTAAACGAGTAAACGCTTCTCATGGCTTCTTCAAATGAGGTAGGATCACCCTTCATTTGAATTTCTTTACTAACATAGACTTTATAGTCATCATAAAACTGGTTTACTAATTCTTTGAGACCTTCTATGGCCTCAGCTACTAGAACTTTTATATGGGGTTGTTGTTGCTCTTTATTGCCAAAAGGCAATTGATTCTACAGGCTCCTGTATCACAAGATCCTTGTTTACATTATTCATCTTCTTCGAAAAGCCAACAACAGGTGTGTAACACCCTCGGTGTTACACTATACAATCTTTTGCTAAAACACTGTATGAGCATCATACTTATGTGTAAATGTATGTAATATAGGGTGTAAAGCAATACACGTAACTTGAAATGTTCATCGGAAACGCGAAACGAATGTTATATTTCATGTCGC